TCTTGCCTCAACACTGATGGCTGCTGACTGATCAAGTGGTAGTTGCTGAAGATTGGATGAATGTGACAATTTCTTTTTGTTTTTTAATATCTCAAGAAAAACTATTGTAAATATGATAATGTTACATGCAGTAAGCACCAATTATTCAAGAAAAATGATCTTACATATAATAATATTATATGCAATAAACATTAATATTTTAAGAATAAGAGGATTTTTAGTATAATAATATTACCAAAACTATACTAATATAGTATGATATCACAAAAGTTGTAGGAAATATTAAAGATATATTACTTCTATTATAATCCATTATATTTTCCCCCCTCTGGCTCTATTTTTGCTCATCAGTTTATGTTGTTCATTATATTCCACAAATGAATGAGATCATATATTTATCTTTCTCTGACTGGCTTATTTCGCTTAGCATGATGCTCTCCAGGTCCATCCATGCTGTTGCAAATGATAAGAGTTCCTTCTTTTTTACTGAAGCGTAGTATTCCATTGTGTAGATGTACCACAGTTTTCTAATCCACTCATCTGCTGATTGGCATTTAGACTGTTTCCAAATCTTAGCTATTGTAAATTGTGCCGCTATGAACATAGGAGTGCATATATCCTTTCTTATTGGTGTTTCTGATTTCTTGGGATATATTCCTAGAAGTGGAATTATTGGGTCAAATGGGAGTTCCATTTTTAATTTTTTGAGGAAACTCCATACTTTTGTGAATGATCCATGTGCACTTGAGAAGAATGTATATTCTGCTGTGTTGGGGTGAAATGTTCTATAACTGTCTATTAAATCCATCTGAGCCAGCATGTCCTTTAGAGTCTCTGTTTCCTTGATAAGTTTTTGTCTGGAAGATCTGTCCAGGGAAGTCAGAGGGGTGTTAAAGTCCCCTACTATGACTGTATTGTTGTTGATCTCTCTGTTAAAGTCCTCTAGAAGTTTTTTTTATATATTTAGATGCACCTATATTGGGTGCATAAATGTTTACCAGGGTTATATTCTCTTGTTGGATCGATCCCTTTAGTATTATGTAATGACCTTTGCTGTCTCTTGTGATGGCCTTCATTTTGAAGTCTATTTTGTCAGATATGAGTATTGCTACTCCAGCTTTTTTTTCTTTTTCATTTGCATGGAAAAAATTTTTCCAGCCCTTCAATTTCATCCTGTGTGTGTTTTTTATTTTCAGGTGGGTCTCTTGTAGATAGCATATAGTTGGGTCATGTTTTTGTATCCATTCAGCTACCCTACCTTTTGATTAGAGCATTTAATCTATTTACATTTAGGTTTATTATTGAGAGGTACTTATTTATAGCCATTTTAATTCTGTATGGCTAGGTTTCTCTCTCTGTTTCTTCTTCTCTTACAGCAATCCCTTTAGCATTTCTTGTAATGCTGGCTTGGTGGTGATGAACTCCTTTAGCCTTTTTTTTTTTTTTTTTTTTTTTTTTTGTCTGGGAAGCTCTTTATTTGACCAAATATTTTGAATGATAGCCTTGCTAGATATAGTAATCTTGGTCTCAGGTCCTTGATTTCCATTACCTTGAGTACTTCATGCCATTCCCTTCTGGCCTGTAGAGTTTCTGGTGAGAAATCAGGTGCCAGCCTTCTGGGAACTTCTTTGTAGGTAACAATTTTCTTTTCTCTTGCTGCCTTTAAGATTCTCTCTTTGTCTTTAATTTTTGGCATTTTAATTATGTTGTGTCTGGGCATGGGCCTATTTGGGTTTTTCTTGTTTGGGGTTCTCTGTGCCTCCTGAACTTATGTGACTTTTTCCTTTACCAGGTTAGGGAAGTTTTCTACCATTATTTCTTCAAACACCTTCTCTATTCCTTTCTCCCTTTCTGCCTCTTCTGGCACACCTACTGTTCTAATATTGTTACCTTTCACTTTGTCCCACAGCTCTCTTAAGCTGTCCTGTTTTTTAATTGTTTTTTCTTTTTGATTCTCTAATTGAGTGATATTTTCAACTCTTGTTTTCTAATTCACTGATTTGATCCTCAGTTTCCACCAGTCTGCTGTGTATTCCTTCCAATGTGTTCTTTATTTGTGTTATGTCATTCTTAATCTAAGACTGTTCTTTTTTCATAGTTACTATATCTTTTTTCATGCTGTTGAGCATTTTTACCATCATTACTCTGAACTCTGTTTCAGATAAATTTTTTATCTCTGCTTCATTTATCTCTTCTTCTGGAGAATTCTCTAGTTCTTTCATTTGGGGGTTGTTTCTTTGTTTCCTCATTTCGGTTGTCTGTTCGGGTTTGTGACTATGTATTAGGTAGATCCTCTACACCTCTCAATCTCTAGCGCAGGACAGTGTTAAACGCTGTTTCTGACTAATTGGATCAGGCAAAGACTCAAAGCCTCCAGAGACACTCTGTCTACAGACTAATAGGATTCCAACTTGAATTGCCCCCAGGCAGTCATCCTCAGGTGTGGTGAGTTTTTTCAATAGGGTGGGGCAGTTGCTTCTGCCTGGAGGCTAATTGTTACATAGGGTGTGTTGACTGTCTTCCCCCCAGGCAAGGCAGATGTCTATGTGGGAAAGATGTCCTCCACTGTGTGAGGGAATGGCTCATCCCAGGAAACTTGGGGTGACTGCCTTCTGAGCTCTATCCTCCAAGTCCTGAGTCCCCAGTCCTGGGTTCTGCTCTCACAGCTCCAGCCTACTTCACTCTCCCTCTGCCAGAGCACAAGGTGAATAGCTCTACAGGGAATTTTTGTGCATTGGCCCTTTAAGAGGGTGCCTGAACTTTCAGCTGCCACTCCCTGGCAGACAGCACCCCACTGCTTTTCACAGCTAGATGTTATGTGGGTACCTTCCTCAGATTTGTTGCTCTCTGCTTGGAAGCCCAGCTTCGGGATTAGATCCCAGAGTTCTTAGTGGCACCACACACCCCCTCCCCCCCCCCCCCCCCCCCCGAGCTGAGATATCTCTCTGGGACTTCAGTTGCCATCTGTGGGTGCCCAGCTAGCCCTTTCATGCCTCCACCCTTCCTACCAGTCTCTATGTGGTGTCCACCTTTGGTTCTTGCATATCAGGGTTCTCCTGTGAGTTTTTCATTGATTATTCAGGAAGTCTTTTCGTATTTCAGTTGTAATTCCCGACAATTTCTTAAAATAGGACAACAGTGAAGTTTGCCACATGGATTGGCTTTTCCTTTCACAAGCAGTTTCTCAGATATCACAGATTACCATAACATACATAATAAAAATGAAAAGGTTTGAAATACTGTGAGAATTACCAAAATGTGACAGAGATACGAAGTGAGCAAGTGCTGTTGGAAAAAATGGCCCCGACACACTTGATGCAGGATTGCCACCAACCCTCAGTTTGTAAAATACACAGACAGTATCTGTGAAGTGTAATAAATCATAGTGCAATGAAACAACGTATTCCTGTAGTCATATTTATACAACATTAGGACTCCATGGCACTATAAATAATTTTGGGAAAAAACAGCTTTATTGAAGTGTAATTCACACACTTTGCAATTCACCCACTGAAAGTGACAATTCTGTGATTTAAGTCTAGTCACAGAGTTGTGCAACCATCACCACAATCAGTTTTAGAGCATTTTCATCACCAGCCTACTCATCTGTTGGCAGTGCCCGTCCTCAGCTTTCAAACACCCACAGGTCTTCCTCAACCTAAAAAGGGGGGAAAAAAGCCTCCCTTAACTCTGCTGTGCACTCTCTGGACATTGTGCAATAGGTTTCCCTCATTCCATTACTAATCTCTCTCTTTAAAAGAATTTCTTTAACTTTAAAATTATAGTTGACATTCAATGTTATATTATTGTTAGGTGTACAGAACAGTGGTCAGACAATCATGAACTTCACAAAGTGTTCCCCCCGATATTTCCAGTGCTCACCTGGCACCATACACAGTTATTATGTTATTATTGACTGTATCCCTTATGCTGTATTTTATAACAGTACAGTGGGGCCTTGACTTACAAGTTTAATTCGTTCCGTGACGGAGCTCGTAACTCAAATTACTCGTATGTCAAATCAAAAAGTGAACGAGTGAGACACGTGATGCTGGGCTGATGTGGCGTTCACTGTGACGTTCGCTGCGCCAACTAGCGGTGGGGTATCTGAAGCTGGCTCATAACCCAAATTTTAGCTCGCAACTCAAAACAAAAAATCGGCCGAGAGACGGCTCATATCTCAAAAAACTCGTTAGTCGGGACACTCATAAGTCAAGGCCCCACTGTATAACTATTTTGTAACTACCAATTTGTACCTCTTAATCCCTTCCCTTTTTTCAGCCAACTTCCCTCCCCTCTGGCAACCATCAATTTGTTCTTTGTATCTATGAGTCTGTTTTGTGAACAGTTTTTTAAGATACTATATGTTGAAAGTATTTTTACTTTCATACAGTTTTTCCCTTATTCACTTTCTTATTTACCTTCATGACACTTTATAAAGTATTAGAGGCCTGGTGCACGGATTCATGTACATTGAAAGGAAATTAATTAGAAGAAATATTTTAGAGGCCAGAAAGGGACCATGGGAGGTTGTCTCCAGGGCGTGTCCAGCCCATCTCGCCCAGTTTTCATCAGGGTGATCAGGACCGGCCAGCCAGCCTGGGAGGGACCGTGGGAGGGCTCCAGGGTGTGTCTGGCCCATCTTGCCCAGTCCCGATAGGAGCCAATTGGAGCTGGCCAGCTGGGGAGGGACCACAGGAGGTTGGCTGGCCAGGGAGGGACCGTGGGAGGGCTCCAGGGTGTGTCTGGCCTGTCTCGCCCATTCCTGATCAGCTGGACCCCAGCAGCAAGCTAACCTACTGGTCGGAGTGTCTATCCCCTGGTGGTCAGTGTGCCTCAAAGCACCTGGTCGAATGGTTGAATAAACAGTCACTTAGTATATTAGGCTTTTATTATATAGGATAATAAAGCAATCCTAAAAGAATGAAAATATTATGAAATGTGAAATAGAACGGAATATTATTTAACCTGTAAATTGATGTATTCCTTAATTTGTCTAGATTTCTGCAAACAGTACCCGGCCTGCTTGCTGATATGCCAAGCTTGGATTCTCTCCAGACCCTAGACCTTTTCCTCTCCCCTTGTCATCACTTTTCAGTGATGGAGGAAATGTTGGCTGTGTTGATGTAGTTATTCAAAGAGCATACCCTATGCAGGTATGACATATTCTTGAAACTTACTCTATATTTCTCTTTTGAGAAAGTTAATTTGAATGATTCCTCCTTACCATGTATTTCCGTTTTATGTATTATTACAGTGGATGGAGAAGACATCGTCTGGATTATACATATTTCGCAATGAAAGAGAAGAAGAAAAGGAAGCAGCAAAATATGCAGAGGCTCAACAAAGGAAACTAGAAGCCTTATTCACTAAAATTCAAGCAGAATTTGAAGAGCATGAAGGTAAAGTGAGTTGTATATTACAAGTTTATTTATATGAAAAGTGTTTTTATTAGAGTTTTTGGAGGCTTCTAATTTAAATTTTATAATTAGGTGAATTGTCTTTATTTTAAGTAATAGATTTTTTTTTCTAATTCTGAATCAACTTTTTTCTGTTTTAAAAAAATATTACATAGATGTATGGATAAGCATTGAACTGACCCCAAATTATTACATTTTTATTCAACACACTGAGCTTTTAAATACTTGTAATTGTCATTAGGCAATAATGCATGACATACCCACAGCACTATTCAGAAATCTTAAATAAACTCCCTCTTAAGCTTCAGTACTAAAGCATTTATAGTCCCTTTTTTGGCATTAGAGAAAAAATAGCAGTGAGGGGAAAAACTATCAAATTATTTTTCCCTAGATAAATCCTGTATGATATTACTTATATGAGAAGTATAAAAAAGGCAGACTTGTAAAAAAAAAGGAGAGTATAATGGTTGTTACCGGGGATGGGGTGGGGCAATAATACTGATGGTGTTTAAGGTACAAACTTATAAGGAGTAAATAAGCCAGAGATCTAGTGCACAGTATCTATAATAATAAAAGCATAATATGCTAATTAGACTGGACGTCCTTTTGGACAACCTTCTGGTCAACGCCGGGGCTACAAGGGAAGCCTGAGTCCTGGGTGCCAGAGGGAAGCCAGTGCCAGCAGCCCAGGGAAGGAAGGCCTACTCTTGCACGAATTTCGTGCATCAGGCCTCTAATAGTGAATATAAAGAACATGTGGCTCACGAGCCGCGGTTTGCTGACCATGGCCCTAAGCCATTGTCATTCTTTTTTTTCAGTGTCCTTATCTTTACTATATAACTTTTGCGTTTCTTCTTATTGTAGTTGTTGGGCTTTACATTATTATACTTGGAGTTAGAACTTGTTTTCCCTGTGGCATCAATTTTAATTGTAAAAATCATAGTGTTTTTGCTTATAGGACAGGAAATTTACTTTTTTACTACCTTTTTTATTGCTGTAACTTTATGTTCTGCTTTTCTTCATAATTTTCTATATTATTTAACATCATATTATATATAAATCTCAAAAAAAGCAGACTCAAAATTTTATGTGCTTAACATATTACTAGCTCATGCTGTTTTCATGATTAAGTAAATCATGAAATTATTTATAATTTACAAATTACTCTAATCAAGTAAACTCTTTGATAATTTTTAAACCATGAATACAGTAGCTTCGCATTTTCCTAGAAAACTTTTAGCAGATAAAAAGGTATTTTTTAATCTCCCTTCTTTGTGTGTTTTTTGCTTGGTTGTATTGTTTTCAGCACTGTGAACTTTGTGGTTTAGCTAATTAGTAATACTTTTTTTTCCTAGAAAATATAACAAAACAATGTACACCATCACATCCACTAACCAGACAACAAGTCTGTGCTCTGCAGGATGGTGCAGAGCTCTATGAAGCAGTAAGGACTGTGCCAGACCCCAGTTACCTTGAGGTAAGAGAGGAAGAGGGCATACAGTAAGCCTTAAGGTGAAAGATGTGGGCACTCTCTGGCCATCATGGGAAGCAGGGTGTTGAAATGCTATTTCTCAAAGAGAACATATGCATATTCGGGATTTGCAGTGAGGAGCCAAACCATAGTATCAAATAGAAGATAGGAATGTTATCTTCAATTCTGTATCAAATAGAAGATAGGAGTGTTAAAATACTATTATATATTAAACTAGAGGCCCAGTGCACAACATTCATGCACTGTGGGGGGGTCCGCAGTCCGGGACCCCTTGGGGGATAGCCGGCAGTCAGACATCCCTCTCGCAGTCTGGGACCCCTTGCTCCTTACCACCCACCTGCAGAGGCTCCCACCACCACTGCTGAGCTCGCCAGCTGTGAGCCCGGCTTCTGGTTGAGCAGTTCTCCCCCTGTGGGAGCTCACTGACCACCAGGGGGGCAGCTCCCTGTGTTAAGAGTCTGCCCCCTGATGGTCAGTGCGCCTCATAGCAAACAGTTGTTCTGCTGTTTGGTCGATTTGCATATTAGCTATTTATTATATAGGATAAATGTGGCTTAAAATACACACAAAACTTGTTTACTTTTAAGATGAAACAAATATCTTAGTTCCCATGTTCTCAGCTCTTCTCAAATCCTTCCCAGAGTCTATTTTATAATTCTCTATTTCAAGGGTACTTAAATGGACAAGTGCAGAAGCACTGAACTGTGTTAGAAATACCATAGGCTTTAGAATCATGGCTCTGCCATTTATTAGCCAAGCAAGTTAGGCATAAAATAGTTATAAAATGGTCATAAAATAAGTTGTTTTAGGATCAGATTAGGTAATATGTAAAAGTGTATTGTTATTAAAGTTTCTTATAAATGTTAGTTGCTATTAGAACATCATTTCATATATTAAGGTAAGATACCTCCAAAATTTTTAGACACCAGGTATCTAATTAATGCAAGGGTTAGTTTGCTAGATAGGAAGGAGATGAGAAATTTTAGAAAAACTATTTTTGTTTATTGATTAATCTCATTTATTTGATGACAATAAATCTTGTATATAGCTTTAAGTTTCTTAAATAACGGGACTACAAAATAAACAATATTCCACTAGAAGAGTAAGCAGTGCTATTCTGAATAGAATTCCCTCGCATTCCCAAAAGGTACAACTCAAATTCTCCCGATGAAAAGTGAGTTCGGTTTGAAAGCCTGTGAGTGTACTTGCTACAAGTTTGTAAATTAAGGCTTTATTTTTCTTTCCTGAAACATTATTTGTGTCTATCACTTATATTATTATATATGTTGAAGCCTTTGCTTTCTCTGAGTTATCATGAAGATAGTTTTAATTTCATCACAAATTTTAATGAAATATTTATTAGGCTGGTATCCTTTTATAGAATCTATTAGAGGCCCGGTGCACAAAAATTTGTTCACTCGGGGGGGAGGGGGGATCCCTCAGCCCGGCCTGTGCCCTCTCGCAGTCTGGGACCCCTCAGGGGATGACCACCTGCTGGGTTAGGCCTGCTCCCCTGGGGATTGGGCCTAAGCTGGCAATCAGACATCCCACTGGCAGCCCGGCAACCCTCAGGGGATGCCCACTTGCCAGCGGGGAGCAGGCCTAAACTGCAGTCGGACATCCTTAGCACTGCTGAGGAGGCAGGAGATGCTCCCACCACCACCGCTGTACTGGCAGCCATCAGCCTAGCTTGTGGCTGAGCAGAGCTCCTCCCATGTGAGAGCACCCTGACCACCAGAGGGCAGCTCCTGCATTGAACATCTGCCCCCTGGTGGTCAGTATGTGTCATAGTGACCAGTCATTCCCAGTCCTTCTGATGTTAGGGTCAGTTTGCATATCCCTTTTACTATATAGGATAGAGGCCTGGTGCACGGGTGGGGGCCGGCTGGTTTGCCCTGAAGGGTGTCCTGGATCAGGGTGGGGGTCCCGCTTGGGTGCCTGGCCAGCCTGGATGAGGGGATGATGGCTGTTTGCAGCTGGTCACAGCCCCTTCAGGGTGGGGGTCCCCATTGGGGTGCCTGGCCAGTCTGGGTGAGGGGCTGAGGGCCGTTTTCAGGCTGGCGGGTGACTGAAGCTCCCAACCTCTCCTTTTTTTTTTGTTTTAATTCTGGGATTTATTTACCTTCTATAACTGTCACTGGAGCTGTGAGCCGGCTTTAGCTCTGAGGCTCGGCTCCAGCTCTGAGACCTTGGCTGCTGAAAGCAGGTATCTGGGTTTGTTTGGCTTCTATAATTGAAACACTGTTTCAGCTCCAGCTCTGAGGCCCAGCTGGCTGAAAGCAGATTTCTGGGGTTTGTTTAGCTTCTATAATTGCAATTGTTTCTTAGAGTGCAGTTCAGAGGCCGGTAGCAGCAGGCGGGGAACCTTGGCTTCCTCCATCACTGGAGCAAGCAAGCCTCCTGTTCGCTTCAGCTGCCTGGCTGCCGGCCGCCATCTTGGTTGGCAGTTAATTTGCATATCACCCTGATTAGCCAATGGGAAGTGTGTCGGAGGTACGGTTAATTACCATGTTTGTCTATTATTAGATAGGATACTAATAAAAGGGTAATATGCTAATTAGAACGGGAGACCTTCTGGACATCCTTCTGGACAAAGCTATGGTGGCGGGGTCAAGGTAGAGGTGGTTAGGGGCGATCAGGCCAAGAGGGGAGGGCAGTTGGGGGTGATCAGGCCAGTGGAGGGGGGAGGCAGTTGGGGGCCAGCAGGCCAGCAGAGGGGCAGTTAAGGGCGAGCAGGCCAGCAGGGGGTGGCAATTGAGGGCGATCAGGCTGGCGGGGGGGCAGTTGGGGGTGAGCTGGCTGGTGGGGGGACAGTTGGGGGTGAGCAGGCCAGCGGGGGTGGGGCAGTTGGGGGCGAGAAGGCCAGTTGGGGGGGAGTTGGGGGCGAGCAGGCCAGCAGGCAGAGTGGTTAGGGGTGATCAGGCAGGCAGGCAGGTGAGGAGCCAGCGGTCCCAGATTGTGAGAAGGATATCCCAGATTGGAGAGGGTGCAGGCCTAGCTGAGGGACACCCCCCCACACACACACCCATGCATGAATTTCGTGCACCAGGCCACTAGTTTATTTATAAGGAGGAAGTAATGAGCAGAATAAGAGTTGGAAGACTAAATTCTAGACCTAGCCCTGATCTTTGTAACTGGACAAGTGATTTATCTCTTAGGGTTTCTTTCTACCTTCTATCAAGGGGATGACTGAGAGGGGCTTATCTATAAGGTTCTGATTTTATGATTCTGAGGTTTCACTCAGATCAAGTTATCACTGTAATTCTTAGAGGGAAAAATAGGCATCATTTTATAAAATACCCTGTCAAAAGGATTTGTTTTCTGTGACAATGCTAATGTTGTGGGACTTTGGAAATCACAGATTTATTTTTAATTCATGTTTTAAACATTCTCTTCATTTTTAGCCCCTTTGCAGGGTACAGAGAGTTCAAGTGTCCCTTCCCCATGTAGACCAAATTAATATTCGTAAGGCAGTAGTAGTCTAGTGTGTTATAT